TTAGGCCTATTTATAGTTGAGTTTCAAGAACAATATGTTCAAAGTTTGGCCACATACCAAAGAATTTTCTAATGTGTACAAATTAGCCACCAAATATGAAATTCACATGTTCAAAGTTTGGCCACCAACCAAGATGAAATTTCCAATAAGTTGGCCACCAACCAAAATGAAATTTCCAACTTATCAACTTAATTTCTAGACAAATCTAACAATCGTATCCCCGTAGATCATGAAACCAACTTTCCAACCATTAGAAGTAACATAGATTTGCTATCAGCATTGTAGACAGAGGCAGGCACAATTATTTACATATAGAATTTACAGGATCAAGACAAACAGATTATGTTACCCGACTTGGCAATAAGTGCAAAATAGGAGAGGGATCTGGCACAGGTATCTTCTTGGAGGGTCATCTCCCCAATCAGATGTCCAGACACCACGAATATTTCAAGAAAACATGAAGAGCAGGAGCAATAAAGCAAACAAGTCCATCTTCATCAGTTTCTTATTTTTTTAATAAAATAATCCATCATCTTTAAACTTCAACGAATTTATTCGCACCCCCCCCCAAAAAAATGTTTAACATCAATTAACAGGGAGAAAAAGAAACAACGGACTTCCACTAAGATCGGACATAAATCAACAATAAGAAAATCTTTAAAATATTTCAAAAAAAAATTTACTACTTTAACTACCACTATCACTAAGGCGTGTTCACTGATTAATTTATTATATAAATTAAATCCTGATATATACTATATGTTTTAAAAAAATCAACAAGCTCTTCGACAGCCTTTTCTCTGAGCCTTTCAGACATCCTGTGGACACCCGTTTTTGTCCGGGTCTTTTATATTTATATTTATTTTTATTTTTTATTTTATTATTATTTTTTATTATTAATTATTATTAACTATTATTATTAATTTTACATATTACATTTTTTTGCAGGCTTAGAAGCCCAATTCAGATTACAAAGGCCCAATCCCGGAGCCCAACAACCCAGACCTGCGGCCCATCAATCGGCCCAAACCCGTTAGGGTTACCCCTTCTCTGCCTCAGCGCCGCACCATCAAGACCGTCTGATCTGGACCCATCCAATGGTCCAGATCAAAGGCCATTTAGGTCTGAAGCCCTAACCGTTCAGTAGCCGTCGCCCTCAACAGAGGAAATGTCACGCCGCCGCCGCAAGTTCCGGCCCACTCCGATGATCTAGTCACTGTTACCCCACCACCATCGTCATCTACAGTGAAACATATCACCAAATCAGTATATATTTCATCTACAGTAGCCTAAATCCGAGAATCCATTTAAAAACAGATTAAATCCCGAAAAATCGGGATGTAATCATGCAAAGTCAGTGAGACCCATCTCCTATTTTTTCTAGATATCATCATCTCACCAAATACTCAACATAAATCAAGGGAACGAAACCAGAAAAAAAAAAGAAAAGAAAACGAAAAAATACAGAGAGAAATTCGAAACAGAAAAAAAAAAGAGAAGAAAGAAAAGTTTTACCTTCTCTAACCACCACCGTGAATCTCGCTGTGACCTTCTCCGATCCCGGCTAGCCCCATATCTGAAGGTAAAGCCTTTGTTTTTCTGGTTTTGGGGGGGTTGGTTTCGGGTGGTATAAGTTGTGGGTTTGGGTTCTAGAGGTCGGGTTTCAAAGGAGAGGTCGTTCGTGGGGGATGGTTGATCGGTTTAGGTTTAGTGGCCACTGATTAGCGGTTGCAGGAGGCTTGGTCGCCTCCCATGGCGGTGAGCCAAGGGAGAGTTCTCTCCCACGGGTTGAGTCTGCGGCTGAGAAAGAAGAAATGAGAAAGGTTAGGTTTCTCAACCCTTAAGGTGGTTTATAACCACCGAATGGAACGCACCGTTTCGGTCCCTCCCCCATTACGTGTTTTTACATTTAGGGTTAATCACAGTTTAGGTCCCTCAAGCTTTTGTAAGGGTTGTGATCTGGTCACTAAATGAAATCCATGCAATCTTATTTCGAGCCTATAGTTTTATTTTGTTTTATTTGAATCACTAGTTTATATATTATGTGTGTTTTATGATCTTCGAATTTGGACCTGTGATTTATGTTTTTTTCATTTTAGCCACTGTGCTGGTGTGTTATTTATTTTTGTTAATGTTTTAAATTTGTCCATGACATTTGTGTATATTTTATTCTAGTCACTAATTAGCCTATGGTTTAATTACATTGTAAGGATCCCCTTGTTTTGTAAGTTGTTTAAGGGCTTAGTGTATTTTATTTATTCTGTACTTCAAGCCCTATATGTTTAAAGTTTACACATTGGTCACTGGACTGGTTATTGTTAATATTTTTGAAAGTTTAGACATTGTACTCCTTATTTATGAAACTTTTATCTTGATCACTACTCTTATATTTTGGGTTAAATATCGATTAATGTCTGTTTATTTTACTTTCATTATATTTTAGTCCTTATCTGGTTTATTATTACATTTTTATTAGTGTTCGAATTTGGCCGTAACTTAAACGACGCCGACACCGTCAAAGGAGGAAGTGCTCCCGACGTCGTCGGCGACTCACTCCTTGCATAGCTCGTAACCTCCGCCATCTCCGATCCTAACTCTTCCTCTCACGAAACACAAAAACCAACAAAAAAAAGTGGAATTCTTTGCAGAGAGAAGTTAGCTTTCACAACTAAACCTTGAAGTGGATCCAAAATGAAAAGGTTCTATTGTTCTAAAATAAGTTGAAATAAAATTGTTGAACAAATTTTCAGCAGGTTTTAAAAAGGATCCGCGAAGCAGTAACATTGCCTTCTGATATACCCACTATAATCATAATAGTGCCCGTTATTATCGCAATCGTTATAAAATAGACATAACCGAGATTTTCAGATATAAAAATGAGAAAGTGGAAGAGGAAAAGTTTGAATGGAAAATATATACTGGGGTAAATTTAAAAATCAGGTATAATCTTAAAATTAACCTCTAATATTTATTTAAATAATATTTTAACATTTATTTTTCTAATTTTTAATTAATTTTTTTGTTTTATAAAAAAAAATTGATTAGCGATCAATATATACTATTAAAGTTATATTTTTATATATTTAATTATTAATATGACATATATATTATCATCATCTTAGATTACGTAATACATATTATGTCATTATTTTAATTAATATGACACATATCATGTAATTATCTTGTATCATATGACATGTGACATATTAATAATTTAATACATGTAAAATTATTACATCTGAAACATACGTTGATTATTAATCAACTAATAATTTTCATCAAACATGAACAATTTTAATTAAAAATTAAAACGTTGAGGGCTTAAATATTTAAAAAAAATATTATGTCTTAAAATAGTTATAAAAATAATTAGTATATCTTCACTTTGATCATTGTTTTTTAACTTGCAATATATACATTAAATTTTTAATTCGTCTTTAATAAGATCATTATCATCATTTATAGTTAGAAAAAGTTGACGTGACAATCTATATTCTTCCTATATCTCTTTCTTTTCCCCTCTCTTCTGTTTTTCTTCCATGTTTTAGATCTCTCTCTTCAATGTCAGACTCCGAACCCACCCCTTTCATCACATCACCCTCCCTTTCAACTTAATTAAGTTTTATGATTTTATTATATGTTATTAATACAATTTCGCTTAATAATTATAATTCACGTTAATGATTTTTAATATGATATCATAGCTACATTCACTATATATATAATTTAACTCAAAAATTTTAATATGTTTATATATATGGAATACTAAAAATAACGTACAGGAGATAAAAATCTCTCTAAGAATCTATCGTATATGAATAGGAGAAAAATCCCCAAATCAAATCAATCACCTTATTTTAGTTAGGAGAATAATATTTTACGACAATCAATTCATTTATTTTCAACCTTCATTTCTTATCTATTATTTGATTGATTAATCCTTCATATTGTAATGCGTGAAAGGTCAAATGCTTTGGTAATTCTTCATGGGTGGATGAATATATAGATAGATATATAGATATATATTAATACAAGATTGATGGTTATTATTTCATAATTATTCATTCTAAAATTACAAGTCTTACTGAAATATATTTCATATTTATTTGAATTGATTAGGTAATTTTAATCATCTGACTTAAAATATTATAAGTAAATTAATCTTCGTTTATTTCTTAATTATGTGTTGTTATGACGTACTCTGAAATAATAAAATTTGGCATGGGGATGACATAAAACTATCATCCTCTATATCATCTTGGTATTTATTTATTTTTCAATAATTATAGGTTTGTAATTTTATCATACGTTGTACGAATTAACTTACCTCAGTGGATAAAAAGAACTGTTGTTGTTCCTAGAGGTCATGGATTCGAGCACCAGTAACTACAAAGGTAATTGAACGTTCATTATTAAATGGTTAAGAGTATTTAAAATAAATATTTGTAATCATCCTTAGTTTAATAAAAAAAATTATCATAAGTTTACCTAATTTTCTATTAAGGAATTAAAATATGGAGTTACAATAATATTTTATCAATTATACTAAATATAAATAAAAACGAGAGGTTGACATTAATTTATTGTCCTTTTTTAGTAAATATCTTCTCGTTTTCCGACTGTTGATCTTAACGTTTATTTTCACTCTTAATACTAAAAATTTTTAAATTAAAATATTAAGCAGTTTATTTAATACAAATAAAAATGCACTAAAAACTTAAAACAATTAGGAGAATTTGGATTACAAAAGAATTTAGATATCCAAAACTACAAGCAAAACAGAAACCAAAAAGCAGTATTAATACCTTCTTTCAAGTTTCAACCAACGGAACAAATTTTTTTCTTTTCGGACAGTTAGCCCTAAACTGAAATTATTTCATTCAAACACTCTTTCCGTGTGTATAAATAGTTTTCCATTACGTCTCCCTTCTTTCAACCCATTTCCTCTCTCTAAACCCCCATTCCTGGAGAATTTAGATACCTCGAAATCAATTTCTCCCATGTCTTCTACATACTTTCTAGAAACAACAGCTACTGCAGCGGCGGACACGACGACGTCTGTCCCTCACGCGCCACTACTCACCTCACGCTTGTCTCATGCTGTTTCGGCTGCTCAGCCTCCCATGCCGCCACTTTTATCCAGACAGGTATTGCGTCGGCATGAATATTCAGTGCTCATGGGGGAGACGGAGGAACATGTGTTGGAGGAGGTTCAGGTGGACTTGGATCCGGTTGTGGCGCTGGACATGCTGTGGAATGCAGTGTTCGTGGCGGTGTCTGTGGTGACCTTGATCATTACGTTGGATGAGAAACCTAATACTCCTATTAGAATATGGGTTTGCGGCTATGCTCTGCAGAGCTCGGTGCATGTTGTTTTGGTTTGGTTGGGGTGCAGGAGGAGGAACACCAGCACAACGTCCGCCATTGATGAGGAGAGAGGAGACGCTGCTGCTGAAGATGTTAATGATCGTGAAGATGAAGAAGATGAGACTGAAAGCAGTCTTTTTAATTCATATCAACCAAGGTGATCAGCTAAAAACATGAATTTTAATGTTTTCCAAGATATAATTTTCTTGAAAGCATTGCGTTTTCTTTTCGTTAGTTAAACTACTATACTCACATCGAATTGTTGATAAATCGACAGTGTAGCTAAACGATGCGAATCCGCGAATATAATGGCATCGTTTCTTTGGTGGATGGTAGGCCTCTACTGGGTTGTTTCCGGTGGTGAAATTTTTCTGCAAAACGCTCCACGTTTATTCTGGTACGTCATTAACCAACCTGTTATTTGACAAAGCAATTTACTGGTCCCTATAGGTGACATGGTCGACAATTATACTGCAGGTTGGCTGTGGTTTTTCTGGCATTCGATGTGTTCTTTGGAATCGTTTGTGTTGTTTTGGCATGTTTGATCGGGATTGCTCTTTGCTGCTGCTTGCCCAGCATCATTGCAATCTTTTATGCTGCTTCCAAGCAGGTATGAAGACCTTGAAACAAATTGATAGCTAAATCATTTTCTTATTTCATGTGCTATTGAGTAGGAAGGTGCAGCAGAAGCAGATCTTAATATCCTTCTGAAATATCGATTTCGGATAAACAATGATGAAAACTCAAGTACGAGGGCGGGGAAAATGGTCCCTGTAGAAACGAGTGGCAGATGTTTGGGAAATGAGCATTTACTCTTACCTGAGGATGCAGTAAGCTACAACTTCATCATGGATTTACATTTTTTTGTTGTTGTTTTGATTCTTCAATTTTCTTGAAGCACTAGTATTTCAACACTAGAGGTCCCTGCATATCATTTCCACGGCTCATACCCTTCGGAGGACCCATAAGCATTTTTGAACCTTCAGTATTTAGAAAATTCTAGAAGACATAATGAAGCATCTTTAGAAAAAGAACCTCTGGATAGTAAACAACCATCGCGAAGTTACAACTTGTTAATATGACCTTTGACAGATCCACGTGGACTACTAGAGTAGTCAATTAATCAATGGTTAGCTAATTATATTCATTTAGCTTGCCAACCCTACAAGTAGTCATAATAATCATATGTCTAACATCAATTTCAAGAGTCACTAAAAAAACTCAGTAACAAGACCGAGAAAAAGGAATGAAACACAAATGGAATTATTTCATTCTTATTCATCTCTATTCTACCCCTTATGGAGATAGTAAACCTTGACACTGATTAGCTATATGATGATGAAGAGCAGTATAATGTGCAGCCAATGAAAGATGCATGCTTTACCTCCTTTTTCTTCTGTTTTGCAGGAATGTTGTATATGTCTCAACTTGTACCAAGATGGCGAAGAACTCCATTCTCTCCCTTGCAACCACCATTTTCATTCAACATGCATCGTGAAGTGGCTTAAGATGAAAGCAACATGCCCGCTCTGCAAACACAGTATATTAAAGGGAGACGAACACGAATGAAAGAAAAGACGAGCACTATTTGCCGGAAGCTAAATCACGAAGAACAGCCAACACTCAACTTATGTACATACGAAACTAAATCACTAAGAACAGCAAACCTCGGATACGTTCATGGCTTCTTCTTCTTTTCAATTCAAATGCCTTTTTGAATTTGATTTGATTCTCTTCTAGTCGCTGCCTGAGTTCTTTCATGCATCCTTTCATGAAAGAAATAAAAAACTGGAAATGTATTCTTTGCTCCAAATGTTCTTGGTTTCACTATTAATATAAGTATAATTATTTTTAGAAAACTGTCGAGAACGGAAACTATATTATACTTTTTCTTTTTAGTAATTTTTATGTAAATTCATGTTAAATATTTTAAAATTAATTTCAATATAATTTTATATATTAAACTTTGGGATGTAATTATATTATACATCTGATGCTTATATTTTAGCAAGTCTTAAGCAGTGACTATTTTATGTTGTTCGCTGTAATATAGATGTTTACTCACACGGTAATGTCTAAAATTTTCCTTCTCTTAACCATTTTATGATGGGATGTTTTGCCAATGACGGTCGTTGTGAAGACTTCATTTTTGAGAAGGCATCCACAAATTCAGTGACTGACCATCAAACTTCTATATTATATGATGAACAATTGTCCTTATGAGATAGTTGCATATCTTTATAAACTTGAAAATAAGGGATTGCTAAGCAGTTTACAGTGACAAAATATGTTAGCTTTAGTGAGTTCATTAGCTGTCATTGTACTTGCAATTCTCTAATACATATTTGTTTTATTTTCTTTCGAATTTAGAAAATATGTTATGTGTTTGAAGCAGCTTAATGGTCCAAAGGGAACTTCTCTTCTGTGTTTGCACTTGTCACAAACTGATACATACACGTGCATTATTTTTTCATTTGTTAAATTATACTGACCTTTTTATTGAACTGCAGCAAAGTGTTGCTTTCAAGATTTTGTGAAGACGTCTGAAAACTGTGCCGTCAAACTCTTTCAATGGTGATCAACTCAAACGAGCATCATCAGGCAACCCTTACTCCCAAATTTTACATCCTAGAAGATCAAAAATTACTGAGGATGGTGATATGGACCAAGATAATGGGAATTTACAGAATGGAATTGACTTTGCTACAATGCAACAGTATAAGAAAATGCAGCAATACCACCATATGTCTGCAAAATCACGAGCTCAATTACGAGACAGTTCCACTTCAGTAATGAAGGTGTGTGAGCTGCTTGTTCAGAGTCTTGTTTTCATTGTCTGGCCTCATTGTTTAAATTATATTGTTAGACATAAGTGAATATATTTTCAATAAGGTAAAGACAATGCCTCTCCTGTATGAGAGAGTTGGCTTCAAACTCTTATTGTCGAATTTCACCTTTGTACATTCTATGTTACTCTGGTTTGAATGTGAATGTCCGATATGTGTCCGACATGGATTTTTTTAAGTGAGTTTCGGATACATGTATGTGCCTGACATGAGTATGCTCAAAACTTTTAAAGTTCTACACATTTGAAGGACCATACTCTCCCGTGTATCAGACACTGGAAGATATTTGAGACAAAATGAAGAGTAACATAGTTTGTATAAAATAAGGAATAGCTAATGTACGTAAAACGAAATCTGTTTTATTCTATACATAATTTGATTCTATAGGGATATTTGCCATGCATATCTTGTTTTCATGTCTATTGCTTTCAGAAGTGACACAATGTGTACTTTTTTGTTGAAAAACAAAAGAAACTCTCTCCGTGTTAATTAAAAATAAATAAAATTTAAAAGGTTATTCGATGAAAATTAGTGAAAATGGCATATGAGTGAAAAATCAGCTCCAAAATTTTCAAAATAATTTTGTGGCATTAATGAAGTGGTACCAAAAAGGTTATATCATCACATCTTTAAATATCCACTTGCTGATTTTTTTCGTGAACTCAACACTCGACTTATATAACCCACACAAATACAGAACACTGACGATGACCCATTCATCCTTTCCACATGCTTCTCATCTTCAAACGACATCGAAAACGATTGCACCGACCAAAAACACACAGATTGACTATTCATATTTAACATTACAATAGGCCGGTGCTTCTACCAAATGGATTGTTTGCATGTGGTTCAGCATAAGGGACCATTTGGTTCACCGGAAATGCCCCAAAACCTGCATCACCAAAAGGATTTGACGGGCTCATCATCAAATGTTGCTGCTGCTGCTGTTGAGGCAACGGATAGGTAGGTTGGTAAGAACCAAAAGGATTGTTTTGCTGTTGAGCCATTGCTGCCATTTGAACTGCTGTAGGGGGAGCAATGTTATTCGACACAGTAAATGGATCCTGTACCTCAAACGGATTCGGTACTGCAGTCCCATATACTGGCTGCTGGGAAGCTGTATATGCAGCTGAGTCGTATAGACTGTTGAGAGTGAGTGAGTCCAATCCACCAGCCTGGAAATCATCAATAAAAAAATCAGTCAGATAATTAATATTATTCTACGGACTCATGTCCTCAAATGTATTCTCACGTATGGTATCATTAAAATGGCACGAGGAATGAAATCTAAACTGAATGCAGAACGAATGACACATGATAAAAAAAACTCACCAAAAACTAAAACCAGAACTAAGACGCCCTTGTTCCAAAATACAGAAGTCTAGAATTAGCATATATTTCTTTCATAGAAGTACACTAATTTAATGATCTCAAGCATTTTCCAATATTTATTATTATATTTATCATTATTACTATATGTTTCGGACATGAGAAGTGAAAGCACAGAAAGGGCATACCAATTGCCTTTCAGTTGGTGCAGAAATATCAGTGCTTGGTGTTGTGACGAGGGCAAGTTCCCATCCATTAGGATCAAATTCTTTTGGTTGACCGGCACTAGAATTAAATGTCAAAGCAGTATCTGCAAAATAAATAAAAAAAAATGCACCTTCTTAGCATTGGAACTTCCAAAAATATTATATTAGCCATCAAATAATGGAAGGGGGCAAGGGACTAAGAAACATAGTTTACCAGATTCTTTTGGAACAATGGCTAGTGCTAAAGCATTACTTTCCTCAATTGCTGAGGCATTGGGTGCAGAATCATTCAATCCCTGAACCCAACAAAATGCAGTCAACAAAAGAAAGAAATAGACAAATAGGATAAGGCTATGAAACTGGAAAAGAAACGTACAAGTAAATCATCAGTGTCCAAGTTGGTATGAGGTGCTGGAGGGGGAGGGGGAGCAGTCTCGACACTGGAAACAGGAACATCATCAGCAGGTGCAGATGGTTCAGGTTCATCATTGGATGATATTTTATCTTCAGAAGGACCTTCCTCAGGTCTGTATGTTAATTGAAGCTGTAATAGTTGATACCATTAATTCTTTAGCATATATCAGTTCAAAGTAATGCTAAATTCCAAGGCAATTTGAGAATTCTAAACTAAACTTTTAACATTACATTTGCAATTGCAATCAATCATGTTTGTTCTTACCATCTCAGCTTATATTTGATTCTAGCTTCCTCTAGTCTTGATAGCACTTTTTATAACATTATTTTCATCTTTGGTTTTGTAATCGAAAATAATCTCTAGCAACTTCCCTCATATTTCTGAGAGTTTATTTTAATTCATGTATAGTTAATTGTTAGCTTTAACAATATAATCGTACACAACATGCAAACAAATTTTCAAAACAACCCGAAATCCCTATCATATTGATAGAGAATACAATCTTTTTCATATTTAATGGTTGAACAAATAGCATGCATAACCTGCATGAATGAAACATGAAATACAACCTTTGGATTAAAAATATATATAAATCATACAAAAATTATGATAGGGCGTACAAGTAAACTAATTTTACACTAGCGTGAATAAATCTCTTATATATGTAGCATGCATGTGTATTTGTGTGTGTTATCAGGAATATAGTTGAAAGAGGACTAACCAACGGTTCCGTGGGGACAGAAATCACACGTGGTGCCTCTCTAATGTACTCTTCCATGGTAGCAAGAAAAGATTGTGGAGGCTGGAACAATGATAGTGATTAATTAACATCAAAGGGTTGAACAAAAAAGTCATATAAGATAATTCAAACAAAAAAATCACCTCCACAGAACCCATACCTCCCGAAGAACAGGAAACTGGAAGTTCCTAGCAAGTTCCAATCCTTTGCAAACTTCGTAGAAATCAGAAAGGCTATTAGCCTGCATCATAGACATTAATTATATTTTTACCAAGCCAAAATAATATTTAACTGTTGCCAGGATATCAAACCAACCACAATTACTAACCAAATAAGAATGTAATTCAATAACCAGAAAAGTAACTACTTAACTAAAATATTTGACACAAATGTTACTTTTAACAAATTTTCATCTTCACCTGTTGACCAGCTCGCTTGTATACATCAAGTGCTTTGACAGCTTCATGTCTAGGCATCTCAAAAAACTGCAATGAAATCACAACTCAAGCTATTGTGAAAAGGGGGGAGAAAACAATGAAAAAAAAAGCATCAACCTGAAACCAGGAAATTATTTTCTAAACAATAAAAAAACACATCACCTTGTCAACAAGATTGATAATTCCATCATTAATAGCACAATATATTTTGAAGCTCTCTTTTAATACCTGAAAAGTGCAATATTGTGAGGTTGACGTAGTTTCCAAAGCAAAGTGTTTCCATTGTCAGATACATATCATCTTGCTTATTCATATGATGAGGTAAAGGGATTCTTAAGAAAAGTACAAAAATAGATTTCCCGTATTTTTTTTAACACATAAAATTCTCATATGAACTTTATAATACAAAAAAAGGAAGTGCATATACATAACGGGGTCTAAAAATCTTAATCTAAAATTCTGAATATTCATAGATGACACAATTAACCTTTAAATTATAGGTCCTACAATCACGACTTCTATTAACATCAGTGTTGATTTACATACAGGAAGCATAACTTCTAAACTCAAAACTGCAATCCATCTTCCGTAAATCAAACATCTCCGCTCCTATCCCTCCATTTCAGGAGGCAGCTTAACATGATTCTATAGGTAGCAATATTTAGCAGACATGTTCCTGCTCGTAATCCTTTTTATGGATTCACATGAAACCTATTTACTCGCTAGAACTAAATTATAAAGATTTTGTTGATTTTGGCCATGATCTTTTCAAAAATTCAGCCAAAAATTTTTTTATAAGAAAAAATTCAGCCAAAATAAACAGTGAAATTTTCAAGAGGTTTAGTCAGAATTGAAATAAGAGGTAAACTGTCGGGTAAATAAAATCAAGGGACTCAAAGTTTGATGAGAAATGTTATGGATTGGTGAATTTATCTCTAAAAAGGTTTTGGGACACTAGGTTGTGAAGTTCAGAGGATTCTTCCCCCAGTTGGTTAGTTATTATTTCTATGGAGAAATAATTTTGTGAACTTTGTAAATTGTGCAAATGGAAAAATGAAAAACTCTTTAATGATACGTTTAAACTTTGATTTTAACAGCAGAACCCAGATTCCAGTAGAAACCTCAAAACAACTGGGGTCTAGATAAGAATCATACATGTGGCGCTCATTAATAACAAAAACACAACAGTTTGATCAATTTACAAAGAACTGCTGATAGAGAGAAGACAACTAGTGAATTACAAGTGTTCTTAGCCATACAACCAGTATTCCTTTTCTAGGGTCTGACCAGATGAGAAGACAACTAGTGAATTACAAGTGTTCACATAAGTATAATGAAAATCATTATCTAAACTAGAGGGGAACCCGAAAGCAAAAGTTGGAATCTATGAAGACAAATAATACTGCATGAAAGCCAGGAAAACATCCAGATGCCACTGGTGACGATTAAAAATAAGATTTCAGGACTAAATAAAATGACACGAACACATAACAAAGAGAGACTAAGAAATTGTACGTACCAGAGCCAAGGCATACTGTATAACGTAGTTTACTACAGCAGAACCTTCCGGCTGCAAGGAGAGCAGAGAAGCCCATAAACTTTCCAGATACTTAAAAAAATAATTAAATCTGAACAGTTGAGGAAACAAAACTCAGATTAGACAAGATTAAAAATTGATAATACCCGGCAACCAATGAGACGATAAAGCAATTGCTGCAGAACAGGCAACTGCTCCAACAACTCTTCGCTGTCCAATTCCCTTGTTCTGCTGTAACCCTGCCCATATAAGAGAACCAAAATTGCAGCAGACGAAGAACCCACAATGGTAAAACAAAATACCTATGTAATGCTACGGTACAAATATTCCCAAAAGAATGATACCTTATCCTTCCCCTGCGAAGGTCTTGGGAGAAGCTCACCTTCAATGTCATACTTCAGAATCCTAAAGCATTCAAGTCTTTCTTCCAAAAATAATGCATATGTACGCACCCAGGCAGAGCAATCCCATGCTGTAGAGAATATACAAAAAAGGGGCAGGGATGAATAGGCAAACAAATCAGAAGTTATTACTAGTGACAAGAAGACATGTAGAGAAGATGGAGACACATGCATAGACCAATAGGCACAAAAGTAGAGAGATTAAAGGCTCACCGATAGGGCTAGAATCATCCTTGAAATTAGAAAGTTGAAGAATGCGTGCTCTTTGCGAGAAGTTTAAAAGTTCTTCTCTGAAAGTGGGATCACCCTCCCTCAGAGCCCTATGGATAACTATAAGAGTTTTCAATGCAACCTATAAAATAGATGAAAACTTACAATATAAGTTCATTTACTTATGTCAAAACAATATCTAGATGCTGAAATATCGTAACACATCAGAACAATGTTATTTGATAACTCATAAGTGTTAATTATGATGCATTCAAAGACTTTAGCAATTAAAGAATCAAAAACACGAATAAACCATCTTTCAGGATAAATCTCATGCCCAAGAAGATGAATTCATCATCCACCAAAAATAAATGTTCACTGATCATTTCAAAGCTGAAAACGGAAATATTACATAAAAACCTAACAAATGTGCTTGTAGTCAATATCACTTCAGTGTGTCTAGAAACTAGTCCAAACAACCACCCACAAATGCATACATAATTAGAATAACGAAGATCAGCCAAAGGAAAAAGGTTTGACTGGAAGATATTGAAATGAACTCTCATCATAGTATACATTTTGAATGTTGCACTCTTCCATAAATATTACAGCAAAACATACGCTATGATGCACAGTGGTACCTTGTATATTATATCCACAATCATATAATTGATGGTAAAAAATTCTAATACATAAACATGTCAGTTGACAAAGCACTAAAACAAATAACTTAACTCCGGAAACATTAGTGTTGAATGCACATTAAAATAGCAATTGGAAACCCCAACTACATTTCAAAGCAGAAGCACCATCATCCAGATGAACATTGATTTCATATCAAATTTAAAGGCAAGAAGTCCTAAGATTTCCTTATCATAATTACAACAAAAAAATATCAAGGAAATAATACCGTCCAATTATGAGTCTTGGCCAATCGGCGGGAAAGCGCATGAATGCAATAAGCAACATCTGCTCGAGGCCGAACCGCTGATGTGGCTAACAATATTTCTACAAAAAAAAAACAAAATCTATACATATCCAATCCCAGAAACTGAAAACCCCAGAAAATTAAATTGGATCCGTAAAATTGCAATACAAAAAATCCAAAATAACTCACTTCTAAGATGACTTTCTTTAGGAGGACACTCAACATGGTTAGTGGCTTTAACTATAGCCACATCCAAGTCCTAATTATAAACATTTCACAAAAAAAAATCAAAACCAATAAAATTCCACATGCTAAATATAGGGGAAAGAAAAGAAATGAAAAAAAAGGAGATCTTCGAAACATTACAGCGTAATCACTATTGACATGAGCGAGACCGACTTTGGTGGAATCTTTAAGAGCGCCATACGCTTTTCTCCATGTTTGAAGAGTCCCCATTTGTAGCGTCTAACCGCTCAGATCGCTCTTAAAAAGAAGACCCTTGGATTTTCACTTTCCTTTCTCAATCTTTCTATATTTGATTGCTAATAATTTAAGTTTCACTTGGGATTTTCTTTTCTTTTCTCTGTCAGAGGAAAATATAATCGTAATCGATGGAAAGAGAAAGAGAATCCAAAGACGGGCTGTCGTTGCCGAACTGATGGACGCTTCTATCTCAACTGTAGTCTTTTATTATTATTATTATTATTAGGGTAAACTACTCAACACACCAATAAACTTAAATTGGTGATTCGTTTATATATGATTAAACTCTTAATTTTATTAATTATAACATTAAATTTTAATTTTATATTTAATAATGTAACTTCGTAATTAAGTTAGTAATGAGATAGTGATATAACTTACGAATGTTGACGTGGCTTGTTATATTAAAATTGTGTCGGTTTAATGATGACTATTAATGTATAAAACTACGTCATTTTAGATATTAAATTTTAAGAGTGTATTGATTTTGTCACTGACTTTTTAAATAATTTGTTTTGTTGACATTGTACTATCCATCCATGACAGCCAAGCACTTCCCATCATCGATCATATTTTGCGTAAAGATCAGTACTAAGTCATTTATCTTTCTTCTCCTATGATTGATTTTTCATGTAACCCTCTTAAAATTGATGAAAATCTATTTAAATACTCAACGTATTAATATTTCGATCTCTTTATTTTGATGTATGTTGTTCGTCTTTTCAAATAATACTACTAAACCATTCAAATTTAAAAAAAAAACACCCAAAATTTCGTAAATTTAAGAAAATCTATAAAAATCTAAAAATAGATTTTTTTTGTTTAATTTAACTGATTTTAAGTGTGTTTTATGAAAAACTAGTTTTATGAGAAGAAAGGGAGTGAAATATAAATGTTTTGATATTGATTTTGTCACAAAAAACGATCAGTGAAATGCATTGATTAACTGTCAAAGATAGCAAAAAATTTATCATAAAAAAATAAATTATTTAAAAGTTCTATAGCAAAATTGATATTCTTTTAAAGTTTATTGTCTAAAACGATATTATTTGGGAATCATTGCAGTCACACCAAAATAAAGTCATTTTGGTGTGACATATCACATCAACAACTGTTATTCATGTTATCATCCTATTAGTGATTTAACGATAAAATGGATGTCCCTTGTTCCCATATGTAATGGGGTAAGGGGGAGGTAATATAGTAGGCTGCCCCCAACACTAGGTTGAGAGCAGCTTCCGTAGGAGACCTCCAAATTATGAAATGCCCTCTATAGGACTCGATGGTGTGACATATCACATCAATAACTGTTATTCATGTTATCATCCTATTAGTGATTTAACGATAGAGTGACATAATTGAACATAAAATTATAATTATAATAAAAAACTGAAATTTTTATAATATAAAATAAGTGAGTGAATAAAATTTAGTAGTGCATAATATAGTGTACTCTTGTAATTATTTAAAAAAAATGGAATTGGTACTTCTTTTACTATTTTTTTCCAGATTGATACAATGCCATTAAACTCGGCAAAATCCTTTCAAAATATTTAATTTGAATAATAATATAGGAGTATATACTTTTTGGATGGAAATATTTCAATTTATATTTTTTAGATATTATAATAATTATTATACTAATAAATTAAATTATAAAATGTTTATATTAAATTATAAATTTAAATAAACTCACACACATTTAAAGATCGATATTTTCATGTCGTTCGATTCTGAATTGAAGTTTATCAGTGGTCTTTCAATAGTTTCATCTCCTTTTATGGTTCGTTTACCGATGCAGTCAGATATGTTTGTATCTACATTTTGTTCGAGTTTATTTGGTTAGGTTTTTTAACATTTTCCCGATATGGTCATTGTGATCTTAAGTGACTAGCTTTTTGTGTTTAGAAAAATATATTTATTATACGTTTAATTTACGAATTTATTGAAAACTTTCATTGTAATTTGGATATTTTTTATTTTTAATAAAAGTAGTAATTTATAAAAAAAAATCTTACAAAAAGAGTTAGATTGACAATTTTATTTGATTTTGAAAAAAAAAAATATTCTGCTAATCGATCTTGTAATTCACAAATATATTTTAGATATATATTCCAAAAGACAGATCAAAGATACTTTAAACCCTAACTTTCTAACTAACTTGGTTTTCAAGTAAAAGATGTAACTTTCTAACTAACTTGATTTTCAAGAAAGATAGCTTAATTTTAAAATTATAACTAACTTATAATTTCATAATTGAGGAAAAAATTGACTAACTAGTACATTAATATATATAGGGATAAAGTAAAAAACAATTAAATTATAATATTAAAGTTTTAAAAAATTATAAAAGACTCCAATATTTTTTAAAGTGACGACAAAATTAATGTTTGTTTTACTTTTAATATTTTTTATATACAATTTATAAAGATGAAAAATAAAATAAAAAATTGGATATCATTGATACCCTATAATATGATTGGCTCCGCCGCAATATATATAATATGCTACGTGATTATACCACCATAATATTTTAATCAATGGCTTCTTCCGATCGAAGGAGAAGCTACTCTCAGCAGCTACAACTGTCGTCTCTTCCACCACCACCTCCACCACCATCATCATCATCCACACAGACAATGTTGAGTCTCAAATTCCTTCCGGCCAACGCCGTGTATAATATTCTTTCAATGTTATCTACCGTTGATGCTGCTAGTCTCGGCAGAACTTGTTCTTCTTGGAATCGAATATACGCCGTGTAATACAACATTCTCATAGAAATATTATTCCCAAATGTAATCTTACATTTTATAAATCAAATGCCTGTTTAGGGTTTAAGGTTCTTTAGGTTTGTTGAGTTTTGTGTCAAACTATGGATAAAAAACAGAATTTAAGGTGTTCTTTGGATTTCTTGAGTGCTGAGTTTATGCCTAAACTTTAGGGTTTAGGGTTCTTTGGATTTATTGGGTTTCTTTGAAAATCATGTTACGGAAGTTAGGGTTTGCTTGGTATTGTATTAAAAAGTTTTACGTTCGACTGTAATCATTAAATTTTTATATATTTTCATCAATTTTTATATTTTCTATTAAAGTTAGAGTCAACAATAAAAAAAAGAATTTTCATGATATATACATTTTATTTTATTTTTGATAGAATGTATATTTTATTTTGAGAACACTTGACACATATGAATTAATTGACAATTTATTTTATATTATATTTTATAATAGCATTATATATATGTACATATAATTGATGATTTTAGTCCAACAGTATTTTATTTGGATAACGTATGTTTCTTGATAAATATATAATCTTACAATATATGTTTTATAGCATTTTAATCCATAAGTATATCCACTAAACTTATCAATGATCACCTATAATAATAAACGGGATATTTTATTTTTATAAAAAATAACCAAATATATAAATATTTAAAAATAAATATTAAATAAATAAATTACAAATTATCACTTAAACAATAATATCCTCAAATGATATAATACTCGTATAAACTTGTGAAATATTTTGGGTGGTGAATCTTTTACGAGCAGGTTTATTATCATGGAGTTTGTACCAACTCGCTCTATGGATATTTGTCCACTATACGCTCTCTCTTTTACAACTAAAAAAATTATGTCAACATGCCTTCTATTGTTATTGAAATATAATACCGTTGACTTATTATTATCACAAAATAATTTGAGTAGTCTTTCTCCAAAATGCACAGTCCAATGACAATATAATTTGAGTAGTCTGACTATCTTGACACTCTGCGAAATCGAAATAAAAATATCCTACGACATCCAAATATATAAGTTATAAGTGCGCATACAATTTTTTATTCTTTGAAGATAACTCATAATCATAACCCTCATGGATGCCATCCAATGGTCTATACCAAGGTTGCTTAAATATTTGTCTAACATTTTTATAATGTGCACAATATCTAGACACCTGATCTACAACATTGCATGCCAAACTTAATCACCCATAGAAACAGGGCGTGCCACCTGGTTTATAAACCCGGTCACCTCTAGAAATAGATATGTCATCTGGTCTTTAACATTGCATGTTAAACTTTTAGAGTGTTTTATCGATATAATTCTTTGATGATAATTTAAGAATATTTCAAGATCAATGTTGGTGTATCCAAATTTTGATATTATTTATAGACATTATACAAAGAAGGGATGTTGTTGATAATATACAAGACAATTTTTTATATGAGGCTGAGAAGACGTGGCATTAGGAAGACAAAAGGGAAAGAGTTCCAATAGTGATAATCTATTAAAATTTAGGAGCTAAATTACTTCAAATGCATGTAATGTAATTGTAATGAACCAAACTCATTGCAAGGTTTTCCCCCTTCACTTAAAGCCTTTTCTTTTACTTCTTTTAAGACATTTTCCCCTCTAAACGCCAATATCAAAACACCTCTGTTTTCGTCTCGGTTAAAAAATCTAAATTAGAAAGCTCTTAACTGAGGAAAAGAATGTAGCTGGAAACGGTCTTTAAACGGGAAGATTGATTAAGAGCTGAAAACAACATACAGTTTGTTCCACTCCTGGACGTCGATGATGGGAGATACGACGGCAGAAGCCACAGCAAATGCAACGACACCAATAGCCAACGTTTTGATGCACCCATGGCCTCGTGATAGCTTCCAAGATATATGCCTACAATACTTCTCAGGTTACATGTAAAACCTACTGCCTAACATTTAAAAGATGACGGCAGGTTGAATAGGTAGGACCTCTAGTCCAGCTGGTTCAAGATTGCTGACATTTCTGAGTTTCAGTATCATATGATAGGAAGTATTTAATAAAACATAGGCTTCGCCTCCTGAACCTGAACACGAGTCAAGAATTCAAATCTCACTGTTCGAGTAAAAAAATGAAATTTAAAATAATAAAAAAATATTTTAATCAATTCAACATCGAAAAAGAGAACTGATCCAACTAAACTCAATTAAATTGGATTTTTCATCAGTTCTTGATCGGTTCCAACCGTTTTATGTATGTTACCAAGCCGAACAGGCCACCTACTCCTGATCCAACCAATCTGATATGATATGGTATTTTATTTTTTTAATAATGATATGATATTATCTTATGATGATACGCATGGTCA